CAATTCCTCGAGTTTCCTAACATCGTCTTGATCCTCCTCATGAACCTTCTCGGGACCTAGTCCACCAAAGGGGTTGGTGTTCTCGTTCCAGTACAGGGGATACCCCTTAAGTAAGTCCTCGTTGCCAGGGGTACAACGAACTCGGAAATAAAATTTTTTGAAATCCTTATAGGACGACTGAAAGAGGGTCAAAATACCCCGACCCGACACCCTGTGGACGGACACCCAACTACTGCGTTTATTGGTACGGCTCTCAAAAAAATAGAAAAATTTTCCTATAGTCGGGATTATACCGAGACCCCCACATAAAACTTCAAATGCTCGGACAAACGCCCAACTATTGGGATGTAACTGTGTAGGCGCCACATTCAAGGTGCTCAGGACCCCCTTTTGGAAGTCGGAAAGCGGCCACCTAACCTTAAGTTTAGAAATTAGAGTCGCATAACAAAAGGTAAAATTTTTGGCAGCACCACCCTCAATACACACCGGTTCCCTATCCACATAAGGCTCACAAACGAGAACATTATCACCCCCAATACATACAACGTGCTCCCTGCAAAAACTATCCATTTCAGCCCACGAGTTCATTAAAGATGCGCAACGGAGCACATCATCCCTAACCCATTTATACATCCCTCCATAACTTAAGGTCTCCATGGTATAAACAAGTTCGAGCTTAAAAGGGGGCACTAAAGGTCCTCTATAAACAAAAAAGGCCAAAATGGTTAGATACGCGTACCTTAAGACACAAAAACAAAATCTTTTTCACTCAACAAGGGCCACGAAAATGCCGCACACTGCCACGCACCACCGCACCTGAAAATGGAGCAGGGAGGCTCACCGGAGAAGAGAATGCAAGAAGAAAGAAAGGCAAAGGGGTTATAAAAAAATGAGGGCAACCCTTATTTATAATAATCCAAAGGACCGCATAGGGGAGGGAAACCAAAGAGTCGCAACGCGTAGGGGACGTTGTAACCCTTAGTTCAGGGGTCGTAGCGCGTGGGGAGCGTTGCAACCCTTAACCCAAGGGAAAAGGAGGGGGCCCACACCATTAACTTTGGCTACAAGTTTCGCCACGTAGCACAATCATTACTCACACCACTGCAACGCCGGCGCTGCAATAAATGCATGTCCCTTCTCGAGTAGGATGAAGAGACACCTCTTTTCAGGTCGTGGGAAACCACGATTAAGTGAACCGTCCGGGTCGTGTTCGGATTTGGTTCTCATCCGGCGATATGGCGAGTACAACCTCCTTCTCGGCAAATATCCGACAAGGGTCACCTGGCCTTAAGCCCTATCGCCATATAGGCTCAGGGCTGGGAGGCAAGTATACCGTCCAGATCGTAGGCTGACCTAGTTTTCAAGACGGAAATCAGGCGAGTAGAACCTCATTCTCGGCAAACACCCGACTGGGTTACCTAGCCTTAAGCCCTATCGCCTTATAGGCTCAGGGCTGGGAGGCAAGTGTACCGTCCAGGAGAAAATCCGACTTGACCTCCTATTCGGGAAAACACCCAACTAGGTTACCCGTCCATAAGCCTCTTCGCCTTATAGGCTCGAGGCTGGCAGGCAAGTGTACCGTCCAGGAGAAAATCTGACTTGACCTCCTATTCGGGAAAACACCCAACTAGGTTACCCGTCCATAAGCCTCTTCGCCTTATAGGCTCGAGGCTGGAAGGCAAGTGTACCGTCCAGACTGAATTCCGACCTCCCTCCCTGGTCGGCGATAGGACGACTGCACCGACTTGGCATTAATTCTCACCGGGCTCTCAGCATAGGCCTAGTCGGTCAAGACTCGACTGGACCTGGGGAACTTGATCCCTCTCGTTTACGAGGGCTGAGAAGACCACTCGGCATAAAACCGAGGGGGTCATCGGTATGGACCCGATCAGTCAGAGCTCGACTGGGCCCTCGGTATGGTCCCAGTCGGTCAAAAACCGACTAAACTTGCTCCCGTTATTCCCGCGCCATCAAGATAATAACGGTTAGGAAAATGCCGTCATCATCGGGGCCCAAGAGACCCACGAACGACATACCATAAAACCCCAAACCCTAGAGTTGAGTAGGCAGATTACACTTTTGAATGCTCTGGCTCTGAGGCACGATCTAGGAAAAAACCTTAGTCCACCTTTTGGCCGGAACACATACACATACATCATATAATCCATGTATTAATAATTAGTAATAGTAAAATTAATAAGCATTTATTCACATTCTAACATTCCATACATCATCACATCATAGTTCAATATAATGTACAAGTTCCTATCATCCCGTGAGGAGGTTGTATTAAAAGTGGTCCAAGCTCCGATAAACGATGGCTTCCCACTAAAACCAAGTGGTCCTGTAAAATGGCAACGTGCATTAAATGGTCGAGGCAAGAAAAGAACACATAATTCTATAGTGACCACCCAATAATTATGAGTTCATAGATGGACCTGAAAATGAAAATGAAGGAATACATACTTTCTTCGTAAGCAAATTTCCATCTCATTCCACTATAACAAAATATGTTTTTATTGACATTTAATATGATTTTTAGTAATAATAAAAATTGCTCATTAAAACATTTAACGACAATTATTTTAAATATTAGTAAAAATACTTATAATAAAAAGTATATAACTTTTTGTGATATTTTTAATTTTCTTATTTTTTTTAATTATCTTATCAATAGTCGTTCCCCTTAAGTTTAAGGACTATTGAGTTTGATAATAGTAAGTAATTTCATACTAATTTAGAATAGTAAGTTATAGGTATAACTAAACCCTACATAACAATCTTATAAGGTGAGAGTTATTAGATCCATTTATATATTCTTTAATTATCTTATTTCTAGTAGATGTGGAACTAAAATTTTTCTTAATAAATAATTATCGTTAATAATAAATTTTGGTGTGATATAAATATATTTTTAGTGATCATCATATATTAGTCACTAATACTTATATTAAATAATAAAATAAAAATAATTAATTTATTACCGTTAAATAATTTGTTAAAAATAAATTTTGTTGTAATGTTGATCATCTACCCAACGGCATACATCAAAGGATTAACATTTTATTAGCCGTTTGATATTTATAATTTGCTAGTTTTTAATTTGGAAATTTTGATGAAATTTTTTCTTGTTAATATGTTGGGTCGTGCATGTTTATTAATGATATTTTAAATTTTATACTTGAAAGTTTTGAGTTTTTCATGCGATGGAACTCTATGTAGTCAAGTTCATATTATCATGTGACATAAGTAATTTTATACTTCATTTTTTTTGCATCTTAATTTGAAAGTGATGGCACGGTTGAAAGATTAAGTGTTCAAATATAGTTCACAGTTACACTATTACTTATGTCATCAGTTATAAGTGTGTGAATAAAAAGAAGGGAAGAAAGCCAAAATTACTTTAAACTAGAATCTAGGTTTTGGAATCCATAACTTAAAAACTGGTTCATATCCATTAAGTGTATTTGCCAAACTGGAAAGTTGGTTTGGGGAAACCAAATGTGATTTGGAAGTATTCACTAAAACTGCACTCTAATGAATTTTTATAATCCATTTTGCCCCTTGCTCTCAACCTAAGGTTCCTAGTATTTCGAAATGCTGGTACTGAGGTAATGTATTTTTCAAAGAAAAAACAAAATTTGTTAGTACGAAATCTGCTGAATATGGTTCAACCTTCGATAAATACTTTCTCTGTTTCTCATATATGGGACTTTGAGTTCTTTGAAATAACTTAGGCGAAAAGCTGGATTTTTAAATGTCATTACTGAAGGACTTCAGTTTTATACCAAGTATTTAAGTGTAGAATGACATTCCGTTTTACAGAAAAATGCTACCAAAATTCACTTCTTTTTAGTCTCCTTCACTTTCCCTCCCTACTGTGTTTTTTTTTTTTCTTTTGAAAAACCATCAGAAAAATGGTATTGATATCAATTTGTTTGTTTTTGGTGGTTTTTTTGGAATCTGATTATGAATTATTGCTTCTTGGTCATCTCTAAACTTCTTCATGTGATCTTTGTATTTTCAACAGAGAGATAGCCAAGTTGATAGGTTAAAATCCCAAATATTTATCTTGAGTTGCACCCAAAGATTGTATATCTTTTTCTTTGCTCTCCTTTTCAATTTTGTATTTTATAGCTCATTTTAGATCTTATAAATGTGTTGTTCTTGGAGGAAGATATATATACTTTGTTATAGGTTATCTAGTTTAAATAATCTTGTTATTTTGCTTTTGACTATTCTCTTGTTATTTTTAGTCATCATTTTCACTTCTGAATGTAAATTTTATGTCTTCCATAATACTAAATTTTGTTTGGTGGTTGCATCATATTTCCTTCGATTTACTTCAGTATGTAGAAAAAAAAAAACTTTAGATTTTTCAAGTAGTGTGAAGAATCTTCAACTTTCTGCATGCTTGTTTTTATCCTCTAGTAGATGACTTGTTTAAGCATTGTGTAAACAAGTAAAAAAAAAATATTTGTGGGGGTTTAAAACAGTCAGAAATATTGAATTATGCATAATTAAAATGAATTTTGTGGCGTTTTAAACCCGCCACAAACAGATTGAATTTTCTGATGTTCAAAACCAGCCTTTACCCAATACCCGCCGCAAACGATTTTTGGCGACCATAGATCCGGCGGTTATTGATGACGCCGGTAATGCAATTTGTGGCGGTTTTAAACCGCCAGAAAATGCCAAAATAACCGCCACATAATAAATTACGTAAATAAACTTAACATCAAATCAAAACTAAAAACTTTAAAACATTGATTTAGAAGTATTTTTGACTTGTATACTATTCGACACCCATAACTCTATTTAATGTAATACTTTCATTCATACTTGGCCCCATGAGTATCTAAAAATCTTTTTTCCTTTTCATGATCCATCATTTTCATACGCAAATAAGGCAAAAAAAAAACGTGGGAAAGAAAAAATAATTGTTGTCGTAGTCAGTTCTTTGTCTTGACATGCTAGCTTCTACCGTTATAAATGCGTTTATCTCTTTCACTTAAATTCATCAACTCAATCAAGAAAACCAGAACCATGGCATCAAAAACACAAGCATTGGCCACATTTATGTTATTATCCTCCGTTTTGACATTCTCCTGGTCACGAGCCGAAGGTGGTGGTGGCATTGCCGTGTACTGGGGCCAAGATAGTCGTGAAGGTGATTTGAGTGTGGCATGCGACACTGGTAAGTATGCCATAGTGCTCCTCGCTTTCCTCAACACTTTCGGCGCAGGAAGAACCCCAGCTTGGAACTTCGCTGGCCACTGTGACAATGGTGCCTTGAAAAAGTGCACCGAATTAGAATCCGAAATCAAATACTGCCAGGTACATTAAGACAAATTTAATTTGTTTGCTAATTCACCTTATAACTTACTCCCTTCATCTATATGATTACAGCAACACTAAATGTACTCTTTGATACTTTATTCATCCATCCATCTATATGATTACGTACGACAACAATAAATATACTCTTTGATATTTTATTCATTGATGGTGTGTTCTCTTTTAATGTAATATTAATCACTTATTTTAATGTTTAAACTAATTTCATTTTAATTTTTTTAAAAAAATATTTCTAAAAAAGTTTATGCAAAATGGCTCTTAAGATTTCTTTGAACAATTTTTCTATAAAGTACTTTTAGAAAAAAAAAAATAACAACTTTTTCTATGAATTAAAATTAACCTATACATTGATTAATTTGTAAAACAAAAAATTCATACTGTAATTTCTACATAAAAAAAATTATTTCAATTTTTTTTCTTACTTTTTTCCTTAAAAAGTACTTTCAGAAAAGTTTATCAATCAAATCCTAATATATTGTCAACTTTTAAGTAATGTTTGGTTCTAAATCAAATATGTCCCATATCAATTTCAGTCCATCCAAAATGATCGAAATTATTAAAAATCACATCCATATATATTCATCTTCATCCAAACAAAAATCACGATACTTTTAGCACACGTGTTTCAAAATCAATCCTGCAATTTGACGTGTACATAATTAATTTTGTTGCTCCATTGGATTTGGATCCCATACCATACCATACCAGGGTAAAGGCATCAAAGTGCTGCTTTCCATAGGAGGAGCGAAAGACTATTCAAACTACTCGCTGAGCTCCGCGGAGGACGCAAAGAGCGTGGCGAACTACCTCTACAGCAACTTCCTCAGCGGCCAATGGGGTCCACTCGGAAGCGTCACATTGGACGGAATCGATTTCGACATCGAAGTCACAGAAGACCACTGGGACGACCTCGCCAGAGAACTCGACTACTTCCGCCAAACCACGGGGACCTACTTCTACCTCTCCGCAGCGCCTCAGTGCCCCATCCCAGTCTACTATCTCGGCAAGGCCATCGCCACCAAGCTCTTCGACTACGTCTTCGTTCAGTTCTACAACAACCCCGACTGCGCCTATGATGCTATTATTATGCCGCTGCGTGCGTGTTTCATCGCATGTTATGTATGTACTGGATCTTCCTCTCTTTCAATAAGGCTTCTTTTGTTTGCCACTGTTTTTCTTTATCAGAAATGATCATTGGAGAGGACTTATGAGTGATCTAATAATCTATTTAACACCAATCAATGAAAGACATATAGAGAGATAAAAAGAAAGTGATATATATATATATATATATATATATATATATATATATATATATATATATATATATATATATATTTTATTTTTTTTCAATTAGATTGGATAATTTTTAGTTTCAACTATATATTATCTTTTTTATTTTGTTTGATATTTTATATTACAGTAAATAATGTATTGAATATTGAAAATACTTAAAAAAATATACTGGTTTACTAGCTTTTAGTTAGTGATTTTATTATGTTATTGAATATGACTAGTGCTCTGAAAATAAAATCGGATTGAGAATCGTTACCCACACCAAAATAATTTGTTCATCAAACCAAATTATAAGTCCTTGAATTGCGTTAAATCGAATCAAATTGACCAATTTTCATAAAATATCAGTGAACCAGTTCTAGTTGTAAATATTATTGTACCAACCTGACTCAAGCTGAGTATCCGAGTTCACGAATTGACTTGACCGAGGTGATCTCTTAAAAAAGTGACATAAAACCATGCAATGCTGACATGACACATCGGATGAGAGACATCACCAAGACACCTCGACATGTTGACAATAACCACCTTCAGACAATAACCACCTTAGTAGTTACATGGTTACTCGGACAACCATCACAGGTAATAATATAACCAATACGTGAAACAGAGGACCCTAACTAACTTGATCGTCGGAGTCCTTTTTGCAGGTACATCCGAGACGCCCGAGTAAGGAGATCGGAGAGAAGGAACTCGACCTATTGATCGACCTCACACAGCCTCGGTTGGCCTCTGCGGAGAAGATGACTTATTCGAGTTCGGGAGACGACCTGATTCGTGTAAGTACATTTGGCGCTAGAAGGAGGGCCTGGTAAAACTTTTCTTCCTTCACCCTTATGGTTTCGACCCGAAGTCAGACCAACAGAGCAACGAGTATACCACAACCACATTCAAGCATGCCAAACATGGAAGACAACCCAGCCTTGCGAAGGTTATTTGAACAGATCGAATTGATGCAACGACAACATGCGGCGGAGATGGAAAATCTTCGTAAACAGCACGAAGTCGACTTGCAACAGTTACGTGTCGAACAGGCTGCATTCCGAGCCCAATGGCAACAACATCAACAACCACCTCACACACATCATGCTAGCCATGTTCCTCCCACCGCGGGCGAGCATGAGTCTTCTCCTGATCCCACATACCCGCCAGAACCTGCACGAACACACCGATCTGTACATACTCATATCAGCCATCCTGATCACGATTCCACTCGACGACATCCTTTCGTCGATGGAATTATGGAAGTTCCTCTTCCCCCTGCTTGGAAGCCGTTAAACATTGACAGATACGACGGAGCCACTGACCCTGACGAGCACATTGACGCATACGTGACTCAGATTAACCTTTACACAAACGATGATGCCATCATGTGTCGCGTATTTCCAACATCACTCAAGGGAGCCGCTCTTAGTTGGTACACGCAATTACCACCCAGATCGGTAGACAGCTTTGATACTTTGGTCCGCCTCTTCTCTGCCCAATATGCCACTAGCAGGCCTCATCACATCACCTATGCGGCGTTATCTAACTTGCGGCAACAAGATGATGAATCCCTCAGGCATTTTATGGAGCATTTTATGGAGCGTTTCGCCAACGTCTCCATCAAAATCTGAAATCTGAACCCCGAAGTTGCTCTCCACTCCATGCTGATGGTGTTCAAACCTGGACCCTTTGTTGACAGCCTGTGCCGACACCAACCAACAAGTATGGACGAACTGAGAGCACGCGCCGCCAGATACATACAAATGGAAGAACACGCGGAATTTCGTAACACTATCCGAGATGGTCTCACTCTCAAGGGAGAATTCAGTAACAGGGAGAAGCAAAAACATCACTTCGATCAAAGATCAAAAAGACCTCGTCAAACACGAGGCCCCTGGTATGATTTTTATACACCCCTTAATGCTCCTCGAGTCAATATTTTGGAGGAAGCTAACCACGCAGATCTGATCTCCCTGCCCCCTCCGGCCTACAACTCGGCCAATGCCGACAAGAGCAAACACTACCGATATCACAGAAATCATGGGCACACAACGGAGGAGTGTTGGAGCCTAAAAGATAAAATCGAAGAATTGATTCAAGCTGGTCACCTTGGGCAATACATCCAACGAGTTCAAGCTTCTCGCGGAGGCTTCCGAGGATGCGGTAGAGGACGAGGTCGGTATCCAAATCGATATCAAGGATGACACCAAGGTCACCAAGGTCACCAAGAGCATGGCAACTACCAACACGCACCTGCGCGTGAAGAAAATAAACCCAGTGCAAACAGTGCCGATCCACAACACGGAGATAAAGCCTCTACCGAAAACAACTTGCATGGGATCATTAATACCATTTCCGGGGGTTTCGCCGGAGGAGAAAGTTCTAACTCCGCCAGGAAGCGGTATTTACGCAATGTTCATAACATCAACAATCCCCACAACTTGGACCCCAAAATGAACCCATCAACTCCTCCCATCGTTTTCAATGATGACGATTATGCAGACATAAGCCTCAACCAAGATGACCCCATGGTCATCTCGGTCGAGGTGGCTAACTGGGAAGTTCAGAAAACCCTGATTGACCAGGGGAGCTCTGCCGATGTGCTTTATTGGCCAACCTTCTTGAAGCTCGACATCCCCCATACCATGATCCAACCATATTCCGAACCTCTTGTGGGGTTCGCAGGTGAGCGAGTTCATACTCGTGGTTTCGTTGAGCTATTAACCTCTTTTGGTACAGCCCAAACTTCCAGAAGAGTATTGGTGAAGTACTTGTTGGTTGACGCTGCCACTTCTTACAACATCCTTATCGGAAGACCAACATTGAATCAGTTGGGAGCAGTCGTATCAACACCTCATCTAACTATGAAGTTCCCGGGCACAGATGGACGCATTATAGCTGTAAAAGCTAATCAACAGATAACAAGGCAATGTTACGCTCAAAGCTTGAAGATTGCACCCTTAAAGATTGCACCAACCAATCAACCTGAGGTCCCAAGTTCCTCTGTCGTGGCACACCTCGGGACATGACCGCCGTCCTGACCCTGTGGATGAATTAATCAAATTCCAGATTGGTAAAAAGCCAAACCAGTGCACCAAGATTGGGAAGCACATTGACACTGAAGTTCAAGGTAAAATCATGTCAATACTTATTGAAAACGCTAATCTTTTTGCATGGAGTAGTGCAGATATGCCAGGAATCGATCCCAACTTCATTTTCCACAAATTAGCCATTCACAGGGAGGCAAAGCCTATATCTCAGAAACAAAGAAAAATTGGAGGCGAAAGACGAGAAGCCGTCAAGGTCGAGACACAGAAACTTTTTAGTGCAGGCTTTATCTGAGAAATTAACTACACCACTTGGTTAGCCAATGTGGTGATGGTTAAAAAATCCAATGGCAAATGGCGCATGTGTGTTGACTACACGAACTTAAATAAAGCTTGCCCCAAGGATGCTTATCCACTTCCCAGCATTGATAGATTGGTCGATGGAGCTTCAGGGTATGCCATGCTCAGTTTCCTAGACGCCTATTCAGGCTATAACCAAATATTGATGTACCCTCCCGATGAAGAACACACTGCTTTCATCACAGAACAAGCCAATTACTGTTACCACGTCATGCCCTTTGGACTCAAGAATGCAGGAGCCACTTATCAAAGACTCATGGACAAGGTCTTTGCCACTCAGATCGGTCGTAACCTTGAAGTGTATGTTGACTATATGGTTATCAAGACGACATCTGTTGTGCATCATATCGAAGATCTTGCATAAATTTTTGGGCAAATACGAAAACATAACATGAGGTTAAACCTAGACAAACCTGTCTTTGGAGTTCAAGGAGGCAAATTCTTAGGCTTTATGATCACTTGCCGAGGAATTGAAGCAAACCCTGACAAGTGCCAAGCTCTAATAAACATGAGAAGCCCCAAGAATCACAAAGAGGTACAGAGGTTGGTAGGCCAACTTGCTTCATTATCTCGGTTCATTCCCAAGCTGGCGGAGAAGGCCAAGCCAATCTTCAATTTACTCAAGAAGCCAAAAGAATTCTGTTGGAGTGACCAATGTGAACAAGCTTTTACCAACTTCAAGCAGTTCCTGTCGAGTCCACCCATCTTGTCAAAACCAAACGGCCATGCTGATCTCTTGTTATATCTTGCAGTAGCTGATAACGCTCTTAGTGCCGCACTTGTACAGGAAAACGACAAAAAGTAGACTCCTATTTATTTTATCAGCCGAGTACTACAAGACACCGAGAGAAGGTATCAGACAATAGAGAAACTGGTTTTGGCATTGGTAGTCGCATCTCGCCGACTTCGCCCATATTTCCAAGGTCATCAGATTGTTGTGAAGTCGGATTACCCGATCAAGCAAATACTCAGAAAACCCAACTTGGTCGGACGGATGATAGCTTGGTCAGTCGAGCTGTCCGAGTACGGTATCAAGTATGAAAGTCGAGGATCACTAAAAGCCCAATGTCTGGCTGATTTTATTGTTGAGCTCACCCCTGTTCCACCTATGGATACACAAATCTGGACGTTGCATGTAGATGGATCCTCCAATGTGAAAGGCAGTGGTGCTGACATTATTCTTGAAGGTCCAAACGACGTGATGCTTGAACTTGCCATCAAATTTGACTTCAAAGCCACCAATAACCAAGCCGAATACGAAAATTTGTTAACAGGTTTAACACTGGCAAAGGACCTTGGTGTTAGGAAACTCAAGTGTTGCAGTGATTCCAAGCTAATCACAGAGCAAGTTGGAGGACCTTATCAAACCAAAGAACCCCAACTGCAAAGGTATAATCTTATGATTTCTCATCTAACATCTTTCTTCGATGTTTTTCAAAATAGAGCACATCCCAAGAGCACAGAATGCAAGGGCCGACCTGTTATCAAAACTTGCCAGCACTACCAGGCCAACATCGGACGATCATCCAAGAAACAATAACGGCCCCTAGTTGCCAAGCCACATCAATCTTTGACAACAGTTCTTATCAGCAAGGTTGGATGGCCTATATTTGGAGAAACCTTAAGCATGGCATCTTACCAGATAGCAAAGTGGAAGCTTCCAAAGTCCAAAACAAGTCATGTCACTTCACCATCGAAGCCGACGAGCTGTTCAAACGAGGTTTCTCCATGCCTCTCCTCAAATGCTTAGACGCAGATCAAGCCAAATATGTGATGGACGAGATCCATCGAGGTATCTATGGTATGCACTCCGGAGCTCGGTCCATGGCTGCCAGAGTTACCCGAGCTGGATACTACTGGCCAACTATGAGATTGGACTGCAAGTCATATGTGCAGAAATGTAAAGCCTGTCAAGAGTTCGACAATCTACACCGGTTACCTCCGACAACTCTACACTCGATGCAGTCAGCATGGCCCTTTGCTTGGTGGGGGATGGATATTCTTGGTCCTTTTCCGGTAGCCAAATGTCAACTAAAATTCCTATTAGTTGCCATTAACTACTTGACAAAATGGATTGAAGCTGAAGCCCTAGCCAAGATCACTGCAGCCAATGTCCAAAGATTTACATGGAAAAAAATCATCTGCAGATATGGCCTACCTCAAGCAATCACAACAGATAATGGCAAGCAATTTGTGGACAAATATTATGAACAATTTTTGATGCAACTTGGGATCAATCAAAAAGTCACCTCGGTAGAACACCCACAAACAAATGGCCAAGCTGAAGCAGCGAATAAGGTGATTCTTCGAGAACTTAAGAAAAGGCTGGGATCGTCAAAGGGAGAATGGGTTGAAGAATTACCTAGTGTTTTGTGGGCATACCATTGCACACCGCAAACCACCACCCAAGAAACTCCTTATAGGCTAACCTATGGCTCAGACGCAATGATACCTGTTGAAGTTGGGGAACCAAGTCACAGAAGATTGACATTTGACGAATCTCAGAATAAGACGCAATTGAACATAAACCTCGACTTAATTGAGGAGACAAGGGAGTGTGCTAGGGTGTAAGAAGAAGCATGTAAGCTCCGAGTTGCGAGACGGTATAATTCCAAGCTCAAACCCAAATGTTTCCATGAAGGAGACCTCGTCTGGCGAGCTACAGGTGATGCTAGAAAAGATACATCAGCAGACAAATTTGCAGCTAATTGGGAAGGTCCCTTTCGTATATTGGAATGCCTACAAAACGGAGCATATAGGCTAACAGAGCTCGGTGGCAAAGTTCTTCCCAGAACTTGGAATGCCACTCATTTGAAGTTTTATTTTAGTTAAACACATGTACACCCAGGTATTGTACTCTTTTTCCTACTTCAGTCTTTTTTCCCAAATAAAAAAAAGGGTTTTGGCTGAAGAGGTTTTAATGAGGCATGCCTGAGGTAAACTGAAGAGATGTAATTGGTTCATAAGTTTATATCATATATACTCTCTTCTCGTATTCTATTCCCTTATTTTTAATTTACTCTACCATGATTCAATTAATTATCTTAAAATTTACATCGCTATACATCAATTACGATAACCCGATATCATCATTTATGTAAGGTGCAAAGCCAAGTCTGAGCTGCTACCAACATCTGTGAATAATACTTTAGCCAAGTTTGAGCATAAAGATTAGCCAAGTTTGAGCATAAAGATTAGCCAAGTTTGAGCAATAATTTTCACCATTTAATTATTTACAACGTAACACGGCCAAGTTTGAGCCGACATAGCCAAGTTTGAGCCGGTTTCATCCTATTATTCATCTTGTTAAAATAAAAGCTAGTTTCACGCAAGCGTATGTGTGCTAATTCTCGGCATACTACCATAATCAACCAAAACCTTCAAGAAGATATTCAGAATATTATAACAATTATCAAAAGTATCAAAAGTGCAGCCTATGAAGGCCACATCAAATTAGACAATTATCAAAAGTATCGAAAGTTTAGCCTATGAAGGCCACATCAAATTTGACCCTAAGTACAAACCATACTATTATGCTGTAAGACAAAATATATCTATACATAATTATTCATTGTTTTCTTCACTGCTCATGTCATCCGGGATGTAATCCTCATTCACCAATTTCCCCTTGAAGACATCTTTGCTGATATGAATTTCTGTCAAATCGGTATTCGGGGCAACACACTTCACCTGCCGTAAGGCTTTAGCAAACCCCTTCTTATGTTCCGCGACTACTTCATACTCAGTAGCCTCCATCTCTTTCTTCAATTTTTTGTTCCCATTCTCTATTTCTTGGATTTTCCTCACATTAGCGGCGATCACTTCTTGACAAGCTTTATTTTTCTTATAAAGCTCCACCATCTCACCTTTCAAGCTCTACATATTCCCCTCATGATCCTGAGCTTTCTTTTCCAATGCCTTCACAGTCTCGGCTTGAACTTCCTTCTCTTTTTCTAACACACTCGCCTTCTTCAAAAGGTCATCTACCTTAGCAGCATACGTCTTGTTTGATCTCACAGAAATCTCAAACGCCTTTGAGCTTTCCTCTAATTTCTTCTTCAAGTTACTCACCTCAGCATTCAATAAGCCAACCTAGGCATTCTCAGTTCTCAACTTAGACATCAGAGCAACGTTTTTATCCCACCTTTTCTTCCAATGATCTACCACGGCGATAGATCTTTGTAGAAACACTTGCACAGAATCCAAACCTTGAACAGGTCCAACCTTCTCAATCAAAGCTTTATCCGCAATATAGGTTGGATATTCCTTGTAAAATGTTTTCGCAGTCAACTCGGCGTTCCGAAAGGAAGTCACGTCGGGAGAAATGCTCACATGATCCAATCGAGCCAAAGGATGCTCCGTGTCATATCTTTGATGCAATGACCTCGGACGGTTTTTCGACCCAGATTGGGACGACCTCCCTTGTGGAATTGGCGAGTTGAAGCCGTGTTGAGCGATTGATGCCTCCAAGTTTGCCACTAAACATTCTGAAGATTCAGAAACCTGTACACTCGCCGACTTCACAGGATAAATTGGAGATCAGAAATAATTCACATAATCATATCATATTGCTTAGGAATGATAAGAAATATACCTTCTCTTTTGCCCCATCATTATCGAGATTTTTATCACTTTGCCTCTGGAGAGTGTCTTTTTTCTCCAGATCGATCACATTCTCCAGGTTTGTCGTTCCTTCCACCACTTCTTTCCTCGGCATACTAGAATTACCAACGTGATCAACAACCTTTTCAACCTCTATCTTTTGCTTCTTCATTTTCTGCTTCGGAACAGCTACATCTGGGATTTCTTCTATGTTAAATTTCCCCTTTAACTCGCACCATTTACTCCTCCCCATGATCTCTGCACATCACAGCAATCAATAACATATTCAATTATACTATTTTAATTACATATAGCTATTATTATTACTTACTCTCTAAATCATCTTTCGGATTTGGAGACCTCGCAAGCGATAAAATCGCTTTGCTCTCTAATGGCCGAGGTAGCTCTTCCAACCTTTTTATGTCTTCTTTCTCGCTGGGTGACAACACCAACCCCTCTGATCCCGAGAACCTCACAGGTTGTGGTTGCCAACATAAAGGGAATTTTGGTTCGCCAATCCAATGGAAAATCGGATCCCAAACTCGGATTCTCGTGAGCCGATTGCACTTTGAAGAACTCTTCTTTAAAGTTCTTGTATGATTGTGCGAAAATTTGAAATAAACCCCCTTTCGAACTTCCACTCAACGACACCCATCCAAAGGGTGGCTCCCCCAATTTTATTTGATAAAAATGCATAAAAACTCCTAAGCTCAGCTCTATCCCCATTACTGTACATAAAATTTGGAACGCCCGTACGAAACCCCAACTATTCGGATGCAGTTGACTAGGTGCTACATTTATCTTTTTTAACAACTCACACTCGAATGGGGTAAATGGAATCATCACACCTAAATCCCTACACAGGCATTGATACATATATATGAATAAAGGAGTAGTAGACACTTTAAAAAACACCCGCTCCTCCGCGGAACAAGGTTCAATCGAAAGACGTTCTAAAAATGGAGGAAGACAAAACTTCAACTTATGTTGTAATACACTAGCCTCCATTTCGCTTTTGACCCTACTCTCATATTTTCCTACATCTCCCCTCACCCACTCATAATCAGTGGCAAGGATTCTTGGGTGGCAGTCCTTCCTGTTATTTCCCTCTCTCTTTTGCACACTTGCTTCTTTCCCTTTATCCCGATCGCTGTTACCCTTTGTTTTACCCATGATAATACCAAATACAACACAAAGATCAAGAGTTAACGCTTGATACCTGACACTTCGTATGCTCCCTGTATTCCCTTCTTCTTCACGAAAGCACTTGCCCCTCTAACTATGGCAGATATTACACGGACCTCTCGTCTGCTACGCTTATAATTGTAACCATCTTCACGCCTCCTACACTTGTTTATATATGCGCGCCCCAAATCTCTTCATTACCTTTTCGAGCATTGCGCCTCTTCAAAATGACGTTTCGCGCTCTGCCACGTCTCTCGCATTGAATGCTCTACGCCAAAACCCTCAATCATAATGATTGAGCGCCGTACCTGCTCCCGTTTCCCCATAATAGAGCTGTTACGCACATAAAGTTATGACTCTTCACACCCTACACGTGTACCTCCTCGGCTCGTAACGTTATGGCTCTCTACGCCCCTTTTCCAATATATTGGCTAAAGCCCCTTCTCAGCTCTTTCATTCTTACATCACTCAGAGCTTGGGGGGCTTATGTACCAACATGACTCGAGCCGAGTATCCGAGTTCACGAATTGACTTGACCGAGGTGATCTCTTAAACAAACTGACATAAAACCATGTAATGCTGACATGGCACATCGGATGAGAGACATCACCAAGACACCTCGGCATGTTGAGAATAACCACCTTCAGACAATAACCACCTTAGCAGTTACACGGTTACTCGGACAACCATCACAAGTAATAATATAACCAATACGTGAAACAGAGGACCCTAACTAACTTAATCGTCGGAGTCCTTTTTGCAGGTACATCCGAGACGCCCAAGTAAGGAGATCGGAGAGAAGGAACTCGACCTATTGATCGACCTCACACAGCCTCGGTTGGGTTCTGCGGAGAAGACGACTTATCCGAGTTCGGGAGACGACCTGATTCGTGTAAGTACAATTATTTTTTTTAAAAATAAAAACAATGTCATTTGCACTTTGCAAACGTTGTTTTGAAGTATAGATAACTTGCACATAATTTTTAGATGTTGATGTGCTATTTATCCTTTGATTTATATGAACTTACCTATAGAATTGTGCAATTCACTTTAATTTAATCGTTCGTAAACTTTATTATCATAATCTTTAGGTTTTTTTTAATCATTATTAAGAACTTGACTTTAATTCTTATTTTTGATATTGAGTACTTTAAAATGATAATATTTCTAAAGTTAAAGTATGGAATAGTTATTATGGATCTGTGATTTTAAATTGGTTTGCACAAATACTTATGATTTAGTATGATAATAATTTTATTCTTAAGGTATGAAATACCTTAATGTTAATCACATTATTTTTAAAATTTGATATAGATAGATTTAACTGTGTCAACAATTCACCCTCCGACATGACCACTACACCATTAAGGCATTGTTAATTAGACTGGTTTGATTTTAAATGTTTCTTCCTTTTATTTTCACTTCTCCAAAAAGATGTAAAGTGAAGTACAAATCTTTAACTTAGAACATAAAATCACAATTAGAAGTATCAATTTATTTTTATAAGAATCAATATGGTAAAAAAAAAAATATCTTACATCCATGAACCTCATAATTATTGGTACCCCGGTAGAATTGCTCTCATCGTCCTTTTCAATGCACGTGATCATTTTATGGGATGCATGATTGGTGTGTGTGTGACTGGAGACCGATGATTTGTTGTTGTCGGAGCTAGGACCACGTAGTTTAACTACATTTTCTAGAATTGTGACTAAAGGACGTGGCATCTGGACTACGTTCATAAAAGACAATGAATTCCCCAACAAATTAAATTCACACAATCAGATAAGCATGAGGTACTTGTTCTTTTCTTTTTCTCTTCAATTTTTCTTCTTCTTTCATGTATCACACCTCACAATTATATTTCCCCAACTTTTCATTTTTCCCCTCTCCCAAATTATTGCATGCGGACGTGTCGGGGACCACAATTTAGTTTTATAGCATGTGTTTGTTGTCACATTGGATGAAACTCAACATAAATCTATCTCATATATTGTTTCAGTTTAGAAAAGTGTAAAAAACTTGTCTAATGATGTTCAAAGGGTAAAACAAACATGTTAATAGTATGTTTGAATATACGTTTAAAATCGTGCATTGCATTATATCTATGTCTAATGTGTATAAATAGTATAGATTGTATTGGAAGAAGGATTTTTATTTTGTGTATGGTCACGATACTCAATAGAAGCTACTCATTATTCTTATAAT